ATGAATGTACAAATGTGCTTTACACAATTGATGTATGTATGGATTGTGATAAGAGTTGTAGGAGCCGCTAATAAAATGGAAAAAAAGAAAAGAAACCACGCTTGGGAACCCTCCCTCCACCCCTCTCTCCTTCACCTTCCTGCTGGCTGGCCATCCTGAGAGCTGCCAGAGCCCTGCGATGTTTCCACAAACCGTGGATCCACACGACACTGCACCCACTGGCCTGTGATCTTCCTGCAGTCTGTATCTTGCATGTGGCTGTGTGAGTCTGAAGAGGGACGTATGGACTAGTACCAGACTTAGGAACTTGAGTTGGACTGGGCTGGGATGTTTCCTTGATATATACCTCCTTCTGGATATAGAGTTCTAGGAGCGTCAGTGGATTTGTTTCCGTAATCAACCCGGGCTAATACACATGTCATCCAGAAAGGAACCCGAGTTCCTTTCTGCAAGTCAGAAGTCCAACTCCACCAGTTGCCCCTCAAGAGAAAGATGAGGCTGCCTGTTTCCTTGAAGATTTCATTTCAGAAACTCAAATCACCCATTCTATTCTGTCTCACAGGGCGACTCTGAATTACAATTGGCTTGACAGAAGTATGTAAGCCAATGAGGGAGGCTACCTCTCTTCTCCAAGTTTCTAGAGCACCTGCCTCTCAATGTAAAAGGCATTAGTATGCATTGTCTTACTTCTTAATTGCTTCGTCTACATTTGACTGTACCACCCACAAAGAACACACGCTTCTTTCAAAGGGGAAATAAATTATAGCAGGCAAATCCACAGAGCAGGAGTCAGAAGATCCAGGTCCTAAACCCAGTTCTGTGATTATTACCTGTGGGTGCCATATTTGAGCCTCCATTTCCTCATCTGTGGGTTTGTAGTGTTTGGCTGTAATCATTCCTGAACTGCTTTCCAGCCTCAAACTGAAGGGAGGTCTGTGATTTATTGTTAGCACATATAATCATTAGGTCTTCTGTACCAACATAACTCCCATGCGAACATGTGGACAGAGTCCAGCCTGTCAATCAGGTAGCAGCTTGATTGGAGGGCGACTAAGATAAATGACTTTCCAAAGCAGGCCTCCTTCTCTCTTTCTCCCTGTGGTCAGGGGACACACCATCTCTGCTTCACCTTCCTGTTGAGGAGCCACTTGATCCAGGCTGATGGCAGCCAGAGCCCTGGAGATGTGTCCACCACCATTGGATCTACAAGACTTTGCACCCACCAGCCTGCATCTTTCTGCATTCTGCATCATTGCAAATGCCTGCCTGAGACTGCAGAGGGATTTATGGACCGGTATCAGACTTACGGAGTAGTGTAGGACTAATGGACTTGATCTGTCCTGGGCTGGGGTGTTTGCTTGATATATACTTCCTGATCTAAAGATCTCCCTTATACATAAAGGAGTGTCCCTGGATTTGTTTCTCTGGTCAATCCCAGCCTAACACAGCACACAAAGCTGATATTATCAGTCAGTGCTTGGTTGTTAAGGAAGCCACATGATCCCAGTGTGTGGGTGTATGGTCATTATTCTGTCACCCCATCTTAGCAATATCAGCCTGTACCATTGGGATACCTATTTTTAATGACTTTTCAAGCCCAAATAAGCCCTTTTATATATTAAAAATAAAATTTTTTAAGCACTGACAACCTTATCAAAGTTGCCCATCTCTCTTCAGAGCCAATGAGTATTTCAGCAGGAGACCTGTGACCACATGTAAATGCACCTGTGGTGTGAAGTGTCATATTTGGGCTTAAAAAGCAATAAAATGGTGTCTTCTTGGCTGTGCAAGTACTTTAAATGAAGCAACGTGGCTTTATTTTAAACTACTCTATAGAGTACATATATTTATTTTTCATTGTTTTCAAATGAGCATTTCCTTCAAACATTCAGTGCTACTTCCATACCCCCACTATGCCTGCCGCCTTGTTGACCTCATCCTGACAAGCGCTATGCTCCCAAGCAAGGCCAAAGCCTATATCTGCACCCCAGGTTCCAAGCCTCTCACTACTGGAAGATGATGCTCCCATAGTCATCCCCCCACAGTCATTCCCCCCTTTAATGCTCTTTTCTCCCTCGCTAGCATCAGTATCCTCTAAAAGATCTTCCCTTGGCCCCATAGCTACCTCCAGCCTTCCCATTTTTCTGCTCCTCTTTATAAACAACCTCTCACAACATACTATTCTCTAATTCAGAGTGCTACCAACGCCCAGAAAGATGGCACAAAAGGATTTCGAGCAGAAGAAGCAGGCCATATGTTTTAGTCTCTGATGACATCCATGGACTTCACCGACTTCTAACGTTCTCTAGTAATCATCATACTAGGAAAGTCTCATTCACCTCGAAATTAGGCCATTTGCAAACGCTTACATTTGGTGAGCCCTTTACCGTCACAGCTTCCCCTGCGAGTCTCACCACATCCCTATGAGTTGAGTAAATGGCTACATCTCCATCTTATTAATGAGGAAACCGAGTCTTGGGATGTTTGGTTAATTTGTATGGTGAGGAGACACCGCAGTACAGCTAGGCATATGGACCCTGGAGCAAGGCGTTGAAGTGTCAATCTTATATCTGAAAAGCTGATGTCTGAGGGACGCTGGGTGAGGAGCAATCTCTCTTCGATTTCGTTCTCTCTTTGTCCATGGGCGCTACTCCCTGAGGTTCGAATGAGTTCATGTTGAATGCTTGGATCCAGGCACTGCTGATGTAATCAGTTTTAGGGTGCTTCTTCGCTGACCCTAAGTCATGGCTGTGTGACTCACGCACCAGGAGATCTGACCATCGTGACCCCTACCGTGTTCACTGGCTGATTTCTGGACATGGAGGTCCAGGCCTTTTTTCTCGTCTCTTTTACTAGGGAAGCTCCTCTGGTGGTGATGCGTAAGAATCTGTATTGGCTGAGCATGGAAACTGGCTCTTTGCCATGGAAGGCAAGAACACTACCATTGGTATCAATATGTGCTAAGTGCCCACTGGGGGCAGTGTCTACTATCCTACTTACCAAGGCACGGGGTCTCTGGGTTGCACTCACTGCTACCTAACAACTGGAAGCTCGAGTCTCCCCTGAGGTCCCTCAGAAGAGGGGCTGAGGGGAAGCTCTACTCTGATACAGCGAGCGGCACGGTGCCTCAGAGCTGATGGCAGGAGAACTGATTGGGTACACAGAACAAGGGGATGGTGCGGGGTTCGGTTCAGGAAAAATGTGTGCGAGGGTCGTATGCTCTCCCCAGGCTTATTCAGTCTGTGTGCTGAGCACATCATCAGCGAAGCTGGGTTCTAAGAAGAAGAATGTGGCATCGGGACTAGAGGAAAGCTTATTAACAACAGAGGGCGCAGCCTTGCTTGCTGAAAGTGAGGAAGATTTGAAGCACTTGCTGATGAAGATCAAGGATTACAGCCTTCAGTATGGATCACGTGACAACCTAAAGAAAGCCAAGTCTTCACAACTGGACCAATAGATAACATCATAACAAATGGGAAAACCGTTGAAGTTGTCAAGGATTTCATCTTGCTTGGATCCACAATCAATGTTCACAGAAGCAGCAGTGAGAGATCAAAAGATGAACTGCATTGGGTCAATCTACCGCACAAGGCCTCTTTAAAGTGTTGAAAAGCAAGGATGTTACTTTGAGGACTAAGGGGCACCTGACCCAAGCCCTGGCATTTTCCATTGCTTCCTCTGCATGTGAAAATCAGACATGGAATACAGAGGAACAAAGAAGAATGGATGCATTTGAGTTGTAGTGCTAACAAAGAATATTGAAGGTACCCTGGACTGCCAAAGCGACAAGCTGAACTGTCTTGGAAAAATGAGAGCCAGGATGCTCATTAGCGGCAAGAATGGTGAGACTTCATCTTAAATCCTTTGAACACATTCTCTGAGCTCAAGTGGAGGGTCAGGGGAGAGAGGAAGGCCCTGGGCAGCTTGGATTGACACAGTGGTTGCAGCAATGGGCTCACATATAAACCAATGGTGAGGATGGCGCAGGACTGGGCAGGGTGTTGTTCCATTATCCATGGGGTTGCCATCAGTCCAAACCATCTGGACAGCACCTCACAACAACAACGACACCTAGCAAACCCCGGGACTCCATAACGTAGCTATATAGTCTGCTATCATTAAAATTGCTTCAAGCACAGTGGGTTTGCTTTTGAGTTTTGTGACCGTGAGCTCAGATAATACATGGATGTCACATCATGAATACTTAAACTGGAGCGATTAAATATAATTACTGAAATATATTTTGCTCTACCTCCTGTCAGGTAATAGCTTGAAACACAACAAGCAGGGGAGGGGTGGCGAGGACCTGTAGAAACTTTACAGGCAGCTTCTGCTGTAACTCCACTTACCTGCTTCGATGCTCCTAGCTTCAATATACTGGGTCAGGAATAAGGGCCTTCCTGAGATTCCTTTTCTTGGAGTGTAAACCCGGACATTTTGGTACAGGGCACGAAATAGTCCGTCACTGGGCTTCAGTAGCACCAGCAGAATGAAGACCTTACACAAAGGGCCAGCCATTCCCTCGAGGTCTAGGGAGAAAACAACAGGATTCCACAAATAAGGCAAACAAATAAACATTCGTCTTTTTGCATGCAAGACTCATAGGGACCCTATAGGGCAAAGACAAACTGCCTCTGTGGGTTTCTAAGACTGTAAATCTTTATGGGAATAGAAAGCCTAGGAGGGACTGGTGGTTTCAAACTGCTGACCTCGCAGTTAGCAGCCCAATGCTTACTGTACTCCACCACCAGGCATTGGTTTTGCGGATAAAGGCCCTTAGCTAAGCATGGTAGATCACCACTATGAGGAAGACAGACCCAGCGCCTGCTCACCTGAGCTGTGTGGTTGGGGTCTAATGGATTCAAGGGAGTTAACAATGGAAATGGAGAAACCAGTGAGATCTTTTTCAATGGTCTGGAATGTCTAGTCAGTGCAAGATGAGATAAAGCCTTCGGACAATGGGGGATCTGTAATCCATTTTTTGAAAAAGGAACTGTCAAAATGAAAAACTCAAACTCACTGCCATTGAGTTGATTCCAACTCATGGTGGCCCTGTGGGACAGAGCAGAACTGCCCTGTGGGTGTCCCAGCCTGTAGAGACAGTGATTCTCCTTCAGGAATGCAGAAGCTGGGCGAGCAGCCTAGGGAGACCTGGTAGCATAACAGTTATGCTTTAGCTTGTGATCTGGAAGGTCAACATTTCGAAACCACCAACCACTCCTCAGAAGACAGGTGAGGCTTTCTGCTCCCATACAGAGTGACAGTCTCAGAAACCCACAGGAGCAGTTCTACTGTGTCCTAGAGGGTTGCCGTGAGACAGAATGGACCAGACCACAGCAAGATTGAAGTGGAGGGAGGCCTCACCAAAGTGGCATGTCAGCATGCTGGAAAAGGTAAATGCATTGGGCCACTGACCCAAAGGTTAGAAGGTCAGATCTACCCATTGCTGCTGTGGAAGAAAGGCCTGACAATCTACATTCCAAAAAAATTTGCCATTGAAAATCCAATGGCACCTAGTTCTATGTTGACACACACAGGGTCATCACGAGGCGGTCATCACTCCAGGGCAATCGCTGGTGGTGGTGGAACTCAAGTAAGGGTGAGAGAGAGGGAAGGCATTGCCGGTGTGTTGAGGCTTAAGGAAGGAGTCCTGGTGATGTAGTGGGGTATGCATTGGGCTGCTAACTGAAAGGACAGCAGTTCGAAACCATCAGCCGCTCCATGGGAGAAATAGGAGGCTTTCTATCCCCTTAAAGAGTTAAAGGCTCAGAGAAATTCAAGGGCAGCTCTACCCTGTCCCGTAGGCCTACTATCGATCAGAGTTCATTCGATAGCAGTGAGCGAGAGGCATTAGGAAAGGCAAGACCTCAGTAGTCGATGGGCCCTTGGCAATACTATTTTAAATGAAGCACATGTTTATGGTCATCTGTTCTGTTTCTTACAAATCATCCACTTTTCCACCCAAGAAGAGAAAAAGGAGAAGCAAGCTTCTACAACTGTCTTTCTGCCACCGCCCTCAGTGCTAGCTGTGAAACTCAAACAACAGGCCCTCAAACTCAAGGAGCAAAAAACTTTCCAAGAATTTTCAAATTCAGAGTTTTCCTGGAGAAGCCATGATAATAAGGACTTAACATTGCACAGCGATTCCCCTCAAATTGCAAACAAGCGTGCGATTCGTATTTACAATGGGCTTTCCCAGGTATTGCTAGCCTAATTGAATCTCTCAACATCGCCAGGAAAATTGGGCTGTCATCACTCGTTTTACCGGAGGAACCCTTGACTCCGGGGAGGAGGGCCTCATCCAAGGACACAAAAGTGGCGCCATCAGGATTTGAGTCCCCTCAAGTCCAGGACCAGGGTGAGACCAGTGAGATGACATCACAGTGCAGCATTGGACCCCTTCCTTCCCTAACAGTTCGACAGTTTGGTTCATCATGGTTCTTGCTGCATTGATTTTTATTTCTTTTCTAAATACTCCCTCCAAGCACAACTTGATGACACTCTTCCTATGGTGAATTATGTCTCCTGTGGTTTTGATGTTCCCTTAAATTTTATGCCTAAGATGAGTATCTCCCTTGCTTCAATCACCCTATCCAAGCTCGTAGCTCTAAATTCTAAATAAAATATACAGAAGGAATAAATACTCCACTCACTCTGATTCCTGAACAACAGCAACAACAAAAGAGGCAATTAGACAATCAGGAAGCCTGCTTTTGATTGTTCTGGGCTTTAAAATGTCAAGCCATTAAAACATCTTAAAAATACAAAATGTGTAAAATCTATGAGCCACAGGCTTATCACCACCCCATTTGGCATCACATGAAAATTCTGGTTGTAGACCATTTTAAAAGCTTTTCAGCCACATTTCCCAGTCAGATAAAAGTGTATGATTATAATGTCATTAAGGACATATAGCCCCTGTCAACTTTCATGGTTGACTTAGGATAATTCCTCATAATATAAACAAGTCCCAAACAAACTCAGAACATCACTTTGAAAGAAAAAACAAAAGGCTGTTTCCACCTTACTGACTATCATAAGGACTAAAATGAATTTAGAAAACGAACTTGGGATTCCATGAAGCCCAAGGGTAACAGTCATTGTGGCACCATTAAAACTCCGATATTTAAACAGCTTCCTAGGAATGGCGAACTCTTCAGTAGTGCTCTCTACCTGGTCCTGGGAGGGCTGGTGGGGAGTGGTGGCATGGGGAATCCTAGTATTTTTAAAAAATAATGGAAGCAGCTCTTCCAGTAAGAGTTGTGTTTTTGTTTTTCTTCCTAGGGGTAGAAACAAGAAAGTCATCATGCCATCTAAAGGCTCAGTCTTCTGGCTTCAAACCTCCAGTCCTTTTTAATGGAAGCCATTAATATTTAAATAACTAGCATAGTTACAACACTTTCCCTGTAAGCAGATGTTGGCTCAAAGATGTTAAAGCCAGAAAACTGCAGGATTGGCCTTGTTTTAATTGACATAAGTCTAATAGAGGAGTTGGGTCAATTTAGTAGTTCTCATTAACATTTAATCAAATAACTATCAGAGCCATGGCTTCCCATGTAGGTGAATTAAAGCAACATCATGATTCATTTCACAATTCTCACTTAACAGTCAGAATTCTTTAACCTTGCTTAGCTGTCATCTCTCCTGATTAAAATGAAAGCTATTATCATGCATGAAGATGTGTTTTTGCCTTTCCTTTTGGCTTATCCTAAATTAGCTTAAGGCTTTCTTGTTTATTGAATATTTAGTGAGCAGTCCAAAGCAAATAAACCTTCCACCGGAACCTATCTCCTGCAGAAAGTCAAACTATCTATTTACCATACACTTCATCTATTTGAAATAATGTGAAGACATTTGGTGTTATTTCCAGTGCAAATATATCATATTGAAAGAGGCAGGCAAAATGTTTCCCTTAATAAACGTTTAGACAGAAAATAAAAAGTAAGCGAATATCATCAAAGCAATATATCTGCACAGAATCAAACAGCCTAAGGTCAAAGGTATACGATTTGCTAACATTGTGTCACTAGGCTTCAAATATCCTAGTCAGGAACGATATGTCCAATGGATAATGTTTTGCTGTTAAGTTATGTATGACAGTACACTTTAGAATAATAAACACTGTCAGCAATTTCAACTCCCAGCAAGAAAAGGTTGGATCAGAAAGTTACTGTATTAAAAAAACAAAAATGCACTAGCACACAGCCATCAAAATCATTCTGCTCGGGATGTGCTGTGAAAGATGACGAGAAGTTGCTACAGAAAAGCAGCGTATTGTGTCGCACACACGGTTTGATGTCACCTAGCGGAAGTGCACATTGAAGGCTTCCGTTTCCAGCCTGCCACAGAGCTTGACAGTGGCCATTCTAGTGCCCACAACAAGACAAAAGAGCCGAACAGTAGCACCTGTTCTTAGATGCATCAGAGAATGGAGGCTACAAGGCAGGCAGACAGACTACTGTCCTGGAAACTAGAGACAGAAGTTCACTGCCATCTAGTCAGTTCTGACTCCTGGTGACAGGACGGGACAGCAAGGCTCCTGTGGACTTCTCAAACTTCAAATCATGACAGGAGTAGAAAGCCTCGTCTTTCTCTTGGACACAGCTGGAGGGTTCAAACTGCTGGCTTTGTGTTTAACAGCCCCACTTGTACCCTGCTACCTCTCCCGGGCTCCTTGAAGATACAAGCAAATACAGAAGCTCGCAGCTGACCAGGAGGACAAACTGCCACGGGTAATTGTTCGAGAGAAAACGGTCCCAGCCTAAAGCGAGGCCCACACACGGACAAGTGGGCCCGCCAACAGCCCTGCCGGACTGTCACTGTGGGGATGGGCGCAAGCCCACGCGCCTCCAGCAGGCAGAGACAAAAGGAACAACTTTGAACGGATTTAGAGTGCTTCTCGGTCTCCTTAACAACAGAGTCCTGTTCTGGTGGGAAGCTACCTTACCAGAGTAATGCTGGGTGAAGACTGGAAAGGTCAGCGGTACAAGATCCGTGGTTCAAACCCAATAGGTGCTCTGTGGGACAAAGATGAGGCTGTCTGCTCCTGTACAGATTTAAAACGCGTGTGCAGTCGCGATGCGTCAGAAAAGACTCCGTGACAGTGGGGTTGCGGTTAGTCAACATACACTGTTTCCCCGGCACAGTTGAACACTTGGCTACTAACCGAACAGTGGGTGGGTGGTTTGAACCCACCCAGAGGTGAGTCAGAGGAACAGTGTGGTGATCTGCTTCCAAAAGGCCTTAAATTCCCTCCGAAACAGCTCTACTCTGAAACCCATGATGTCACCCCCAGTCACAGTCAACCCCACAACGACTGATTGGCTAGTCTATGACTTTAACCAAATAAGCACCAGAAACAAAAATAGAATAAAATTATAAAATGCTAAGTTGTACATGGTTATTTCCGGGTGGCAGAATGAATCTCTCTCTCTCCTTATTTACTTCTTTCAAAGAGATCTAGAATAATGTCCGACCATCATTAATCCTATCACCAAAAAATAATCATTTTTGGCTTC